GAGGTGCTAATGGCTTGAAGTGCCTCCTGCCACCCCATTTCCTTGAGTATACACACACAGATGTATACCCCCAAATGAAATCAAACATCATTGCCTATTATTGGTCTGATTTTTTTCAAGAATATCTTCCTGCATTAGTACATATTGATTTTCTTCATTTTTTTTTTTAACAGTTGCATGCTTTCCCACTGAAGGGCTATGCCTTCATTCAATCTCTGTGCAACTGTCAGGCGCATAGCTAGTTTCCTGTTTTTCATGACCGTCCTTTAGTAGTTCAACAGTTATTCAAGCTCCTGTCCCATTTCCACGTTTTATGCAAGGATCTTGCCTGTTTCACAGAAGAAACAAAGCCAGAAGGTGCGAACTTCTTCAACTTCCCAACTCCCTTATCTCCACACCGATCTAAAACTACATCCATCCTGGGGTGCCTGGGTAGCTCAGTCGGTTAAGTGTCTGACTTCGGCTCAGGTCATGATCTCACGATTCATGGGTTTGAGCCCCGCGTCGGGCTCTGTGCTGACAGCTCAGAGACTGGAGCCTGCTTTGGATTCTGTGTCTCCCTCTCTTTCTGCTCCTCCTCTCTCAAAAAAATGAGTAAATGTTAAAAAAAAAAACAAAAAAACACTACATCCATCCTTTGCTCTCTCAGGAGAAAGAGACCACTTCTGCAGAATGGATTGCTAGCCATGCTGCCTAACATTCCCTTCTGTGCTCACACAGGGCTTCCCAACAGTTCTCCCATTTTTTTTTTCCTAACCCCTTTCTCTATTGCTTTCTCCCGCAAGCTTATAGAAGCATGTGTACTTACCTTCCAATTTTAAGACTCTCCCCCTTTTCTGCCTCACAGCCTAGCTTCTTTTTTTTTTAAGTTTATTTTTATTTATTTTGAGAGAGAGAGAGAGCACGAACTGGGGAGGGGGGGAGAGAGAGAGAGAGAGAGAGAGAGAGAGAGAGAGAGAGAATCCCGAGCAGGCTCTGAACTGTTAGTGTAGAGCCCGATGTGGGGCTGGAACTCACAAACTGAGATCACAACCTGAGTTGAAACCAAGAGTCAGATGCTTAACCGACTGAGCCACCCAGGTGCCCCTCACAGCCCAGCTTCTTAAGAGTAGTCTATGACCTCGGGGCGCCTGGGTGGCTCAGTCAGTTAAGCATCTGACTTCGGCTCAGGTCATGATCTCATGGTTCAGGAGTTCGAGTCCTGTGTCGGGCTCTGTCTGACAGCTCGGAGCCTGGAGCCTGCTTCCAATTCTGTCTCTGTCTCTCTGCCCTTCCCCTATGTGCTGTCTCTCTCTCTCAAATATAAAACATAAAAAAAAATTTTTAAGAGTAGTCTATGATCTCTAGTGTCACTCCCCTCATCTTCCATCTGCTCCCCACCCTACTGCTGGCTTCCAGTCTCACTACTCTACAACTGCTTGTGCTAGCTAGGGTCTCCTGGGACCTCCAAGTTGCCAAAGCCAAAGGCTCTCGCTTAGGCTTCCTGTGACTTCACCTCTCTGTGGCACCCATGTGATCTCCCCCACCCCTTAAAATTTCTTTGGTTTGAGAAGTACCACTCTTCCAGTTTTCCTTCTATTTCTGACCACACCTAAATACTGGTCTTCACCAGAATTCTGTTGTCCATGCTCTTCTGACTCAACACATGTCCTGGGTGATCTTAACCTGCTCCCGAGGTTACACAAATCCTAAGCTTTCTACCTATTTTCCTTTAAACTTACGTGCTTCTAACCAAACTTAGTGATTTTCTCCGACCTTCCACCCTCAACCTATGAATAGTATCACCACTTACCCAGTCACCTAAGTCAGAAACCAAGCTTCCACTCTTTCACTTTCCATTATGCAGTCACCAAAGTGTCCCTCTCATTACACCCCTACTGCCAACGCCTCGGCCAACTTGTTTCCATCATCTCATCTGGCATCAAACCACCCTCCCCGGTCCATCTGTTTTCACACCGTGGCCAGCGTGATCTAAGATGAGCATTTGGGGGCACCTGAGTGTCTGTTGGTTGAGGGTCTGACTCTGGATTTCAGGGCATGATCCTCGGGTGGTGGGATCGAGCCTTGCGTCGGGCTCTGTGCTGAGCATGGAGCTGGCTTGGGATTCTCTCTTTCTCCCTCTGGCCCTCTCCCCTGCTCGCACTCTAATTAAAAAAAATAAGGGGTGCCTGGGTGGCTCAGTTGGTTGAGTGTCCAACTTTGGCTCAGGTCATGATCTCGCAGTTTGTGAGTTTGAGCCCCATGTCAGGCTCTGTGCTGACAGCCTGGAGCCTGGAGCCTGCTTCGGATTCTGCTTCTCCTTCTCTCTCTGTCCACCCCCCACTTGTGCTCTGTCTCTGTCTCTCAAAATTAATTTTTTTAATTTAAAAAAAATTTTTTTTAATTAAATTTAAAAAAATTCATATGTGGATCTTGAGAAATTTAACAGAAGACCATGGGGGAAGGGAAGGGGAAAAAATTGTTATAGAGAGGGAGGGAGGCAAACCACAAGAGACTGTTAAATACAGAGAACAACAGCAAAAAAAAGAATACGAGAGAGAGAGAGAGAGAGAGAGAGAGAGAGAGAGAGAGAACAAACTGAGGGAGGACGGGGTGGGGGCGAGAGGGAAAATGGGTGATGGGTACTGAGGAGGGCACTTGTTGGGATGAGTGCTGGGTGTTGTATGTAAGCCAATTTGCCAAATCATATTAAACAAATAAATAAAATTTAAAAAATAAAAACAAAACGAACATTTGATCCTGAGATTTGTAATGACCATACTACACATGCTCCATCTACTCCACCCATCCTCAATACTGTTCCATGAACAGACCGTGCAAGTTTATGCCCCGAAGCACTGCTCCCTCTGCCAAGAATGCCCTCTCCCCTCTGCTCCCTTCTGTCTGGCAAACTCCTACCTACTCTTCATGATCCATCTCAAAGGTCTCCTCTGTGAAACCTTCCCATCCTTACTCCACAAGCAGAGTTGGAAACTCCTTCCTGTCACCACAGATCCTCGTTAAGTATTTATTGCAATGATCATGTCTTATTCAATTTATTTATTTACATGTCTGTGTCTCATTATAGACCTTAAGTTCCTTGCAATCAGAAACTAGACCTCACTTTTGTATCAGCATCAGACACACTGCTTGATAAAGACAGGGGGCTTGATAAATGTTGAGTGAACAAATGAATGAATACCATGTACCCGCGCCCAATCTCCCAAACCAAAATTCTGTCATCTTCCATTCCTCTTCTTCTGCCTCCGAATGCCAACTGGTCTTAAGTCCTGTTGATTCTGCACCGCCTGCTCCCCTGAAGATCTCTCAAATTCATGCCCCTCCTCCCTATCTTAATGCCACGGCTCTACACTGGGCTCCATTTCCCCTTGCTTGAACGAGATTTGTTCCCCTCCAAACCACTCTCCACACTATTGCTGGATTTTTTAAACTTTATTAGAAAAATAGTACATACTCATAAAAAAATTTTAGGCAATCCAGAAATAAAAGCACAATACCCTCCCAGTATACATAAAGCTATATTGCCCCCTCCCCTCCAATCCCAATACCTGGAGGTTATCACTGTGAACAGTTTAGCATACCTCCTTTCAAACCTTTTCCTTTGCATATACAAGTATATACACACACATAAATACACACGTGGTTTGGGCTTTTACAAAAATGGGGTCACACTTGTCTGTTACATATGGTTCTTCAATTTCTTTCATCCAATGTACAGAAAATTTCTAAAACACAAATCTGATTCAATCATCCCACCAGAATTCATCATTTCCCATAATATATAAATCACACTTATTATCGTCAAGGATATGCTTCCTGCGTCTTTCAGGCTCATCTCTAGCCATTCCAGCATAAATCACCTCTCATCCTTTCTGGGACAAGGCAGGCACAATCAATCAATCTAGGAACACACTCTGCTATCTCTAGACTTCGGCCTTTTCACTTCATGTTACACTCTGTCTGGACTTTTCTTTATCTGGCAAGCTCCTACTGATTCTTCAACAGTCAGCTTACAAATTACCTCTAGGAAGACTTCCCTGGCTTTTCTGAACATGATCACTCCTCTGTTTTCCCCTATATTTTGTGTCTAGCTTCTTAATTGCACTCATTGCAGAGCACTGTAAGGATTTATAAACATGCTTTGAATTCCACTCCCCCTCCCCCAACATGAAGGCGAGCTCTTCCGGCGAAAGCAATGTGTCGTCTTTGCCTTTACATCTTAAGGATCTGACAGAGTTCTTGTCACGGAGGAGACACTCAATAACAAATCTCTTGAGGATGTTATGATTCTGGGAACATTTACCTAGTACCTACTATGCATAGGCCCATGTTCTAAGCATGAAAAGAAACAGAAGACATAGTCTTTGCCCTAAGGAACCCTTTCCCCTGGGGAGGAGGGGTACAGAACACATTCACAAAGCAACGGATCATTTCTGACATATAGGCCGTTTCAAAGATTGGTAGCCATTTGCCTCATCATATAATTGAATAAATAATAAAGCCACAGGCAGTCTGTCCGATAGGTTCATGTGTTTACTGGGGCGCAGAGCCCACCAAAACCCAATTCTCTGTCCCAGCAAGGGGGCTGTCACCTGTTCCAGCCTGCAAATTACAAAGCGGAGATGATGCCACGCTTGGCAAATTTTGAAGACACCAGGAAGACAGAAAGTTGTTATTCCTTTCATCATTTGTCCTCCTTCCTGAGGGAAAAGGGGTACTGAGAGCAGTAAGTAGAGCTAAAGGAGGGTGCTGGAAGCAGAGAAGATTGCTCTCCTTTTGTCAGTGGTAGGGGAGAAGGGGTTGCTTGGTTTTAAATCACAGTGTGGCACTGCCCCAAGAAGATCAGAAGAGGTGACTTATTATGATTTATTTACTATTTCTTAATAAATTAATCCAGTGATTTCAGGATCAGACACCATATAATCATAAACAAATCAGGGAAGGTGAACCGCCTAGGCTGGAGACCAGGGAAGGCTGACCAAGGAGGCCCAAAGGAAGCCTCATTCATCAGAGTCCAAGTCACTGTCCCCAGCAATGGAGTGGAAATCCTCACTGTCCTCCTCGTCCTCTGACAGGTGGACCTGGCTTAGTACGCTCGGCCCAGAGCGCTGCTCTTCTTCCTCATCTTCTTCCTCCTCTGATACCTCATACCCACCGATGCTGCTGAAGCTTGTGTCTTGGGTGTTTGACTTGGGGTCAGGCTCCTCATAGCTCCCATAACTGAGAAGAGAAACATGTCATCTCTCAAGCTCGGGCACCATCCTCTAGATGACCAGTCCTGTTCTCGGTGCCACCGAGGGATCAGCTCATCTCACCTCCCCTAGACACTAAAATGACTCATTCTGGACTGTTCTACAGGTCCCCAAGAGGAAAATGATCCCGTTCAAAACATCACCCTGCCAACTCCAATATACATTAAGAACCCGAATTAAAGCGCGCCCAAACAACACACTGCCAGCTTACGGGGTCATACATGTTCTGACAGCCTCATGGTTTCATGTACCATTTATAGCTTCACTCATCTGTGTTTCTAATTAGTCAACAGTCTTGAAGATTCTACTTCTTCAACAGATCTTCTCTCTGTCCCCTCCTTTCCACCTCTACTCTGCCTGCCATAGCTTAGTCCCTTGTTTTCTCTGGCCTGCACCACTGAACTCAGTCTTCATGCCTCCAGTCCTGCTCTCCTCCAATGAATTCTTCACACTTCCGCCAGAGTGCTCTTTATTTTTTATTCTTAATTTTACTTAAAAAAAAAAAAATCACACAAGCAATGCATGTTCACTGGTTTTAAAAAAGATAGAGTATATACCAGAAAAAATGAGAAAAAGTCATCAAGAACTCCACCACCCAGAGATAATCTACTGGGGTATATGATCTTCCAAATTTTTTTTCTGTGTACTTCACTTAGATGCTTAACCATTTTGTTACATGACAAAATTGGAATACTCTACAAGGTCTTTTAGGAATCTGCTTTTTTCACTAGTGATTATAATGACCATCTTTCCACATCAATAAACATACATCTAGAGCATCATTTTGATAGCTGTATGGTGTTCTGCTATACGGCTGTAACAGGGTTTATGCAACAAGTGTCTCACCAGGCTATTTAAGCTGTCTCCAACTTTCCCACTATTAAAAACAGTGCTGTGATGAAACTCCTTGTACAAGTGTCTTGATGAAGGTGTTTTATTATTGCCATAGGATAACTTCCTAGACATGGAACGTTGGGGGCCAAAGGGAATGCCCATTTTTTAAAGTTTTTGGTTTATAAGAATAAATTGCTATACCTCTCTCACACCCACCACGGTGTGTTTTTCCTCACGTTCTTCCAACCCTGGGCATTATCACCCATTTTCATCTCTGTCAATCTTAGAGGCAAAATATTGCATTTCGTGGTTTTACTGACTTTCTTTGGTTCTTAGGAAAATTATTTTTTCACATAGTTATGGGCCATTTGCATTTCTTTTGGGGTACAGAGCAATCGTTCCAAAATGTAGATCTGCTCCTACTTCTCGTTCAGTGTCTGCCCCAAACTTTCAGGCCCGTCATGATTTGATCCTTACCTACCTCTTTAAATCAGTTCCATCACATGGATCATGGATCAAAAGCTCCAGCCATGGAGCTGCCTGCATTCTCTAGAATTGTTTCATGCCTCCTATCCTGTTCTGGCTCTCTGAAGTGCCCTTTGCTTTCTTCTTCACCTAGCTAAATTCCTAGTCTGAGTTAGCTCAGTTTCCTCCTCTAAGTGGCTCCCCTTCCCCAATCCTACCCAAGTCCCAGAAAAACCCTGTGGTTACCTGTCACAGCACTTTCACGTCACACTACGATTGTCTATTTACCTGCTCTAAGTTTCCCAGTAGCCCGAACTCGTTGAAGGAAGGGACCGCATCTTACTTGCTCTTTAAGTTGTGATATAAATATTTGCTTAATGAGTCAATAAAGACCCTAACTGCTTGTTGTATACCTCTGGCTAGATGTATCTGACATGTCTTAAATCTAACGTGTCCAAAGACAAATTCATTTTCTCCTCCTTTCCCACCTCATCTAATACCTGTTCTTCCTCTTTCCTAGCTCAGTGACATTCCCATTCATGAAATATCTTACCTCCCTACCTCCTGAATACAACTGATCTATCTTCTCAACAGCTCTTGTATGTCCCTTCCTTTCCCCCATGCTTCTAACAGATCCCAGTTGAAATCCTTACCATTGCCCTAGAGTTATTTAACACAAAAGCCTTCCCTTTCCTTGAAGTGATGATTCCCCATTACCCAAACTCCAAGTGTCTCAACATGCCATTTAAGGTCCTCTGCAATATAATCCCCTGCTACTTCTGGAGCCAACAACCTCCCAACAACCTCCCTTTACTCGAGAACATCCTTCTTCTATTTCAGTGCGCCTCTGAACATACTGTCCCGTCTCTAAGGATCTCCTCACCTGCTGCCACTTTTCTACTTAATAGACACCTATTCAGCCTGTCAGGTCCAGTTCAAATGTTCCCTCATCTGCAAAATGTTCCATGATCACTCCAAGCAGAGTGAGGTACTCCATCCTCAGTGGTGACTTGGCACTTTGTACTTAACTTATGCTATAGCACTTAGCACATTATATCCAATGATTTTGTTTGCATCAGCCTCCTCCACTAGACTTTGAGGTCCTCAAGGGCAGGATACGGCTTGCTCCTCTGTGTATCCTCAAGGGGCTAGCACAGTGTCTGGCTCTAGGTGCTCAGGAAATCTCTGCTGGATGAAACTAATCTGATGCTGGGCCCTCTGACATCAGAGCTGGGCACTGATGCCACAGCCCTGTAGCACATTGCTGCCAATTACCTGATGTTGCTATCCTCCAAACCATGAGAAGCCTCCCCACCATCTCCGTCATAGGACATCATGCTTTCTTCATTTTCCATGCCCATCCTTGTGTTCTCCTGAAGCATGCGGGGTTGTTTGGGTCTTATCCCACCAGACCCCACATCAGAGTCACTTCCGCTTTCACTCAGCTGGATAGCTGTGAAAAGAAGGAGGGCCTGAGATAAGCTTGACAGAATTAACATCTTTGGCTTGGTCTTCCAAAACTAGTTACGGCCATATATCCACACAGGCACTGTGGATCCCTCACCTCGGAGTGCCTAGGGACAGTATCGGCAAGACCGTAGTTCGGAAACAGGGCCCAAATAACCACTTCCTTTTCTCATTGCAGTCCAATCTTGGTTATTTTTCCCCCATCATCTCCTATACTTTTTCTCTGCCACTGCCAGTAATTGACAAAATAAACCAAGAGGGATTTTTTTTTTTAATTGAAGTATAATTGACATACAATGTTGTATTGGTTTCGGGTGTACAACACAGTGATTTGACAATATACATTACACTATGCTTACCACAGTGTAGCTGCCATCTGTCAACATGCAATACTATTACAGTATCACTGACTAATTCCCTATGCTGTGCCTTTTATTCCTGTGACTTATTCATTTCATAACTGGAAGACTGTACCTCCCACTCCTCTTCACCCATTTTCTCTGCCCCCCATCCTGATGTGCTTCGGCAGCCATTGGTTTGTTCTCTGTACTTATGGGTCTGTTTCAGCTCTTTTTGGTTTTGTTTCGTTTCTTAAATTGCACATGAGTGATCATATGGTATTTTGTCTGACTTATTTTACTTAGCATAGTACCTTCTAGGTCCATCCATGTTGTCGCAAATGGCAAGATCTCATTCTTTCTTTTGGTTGAGTAAAGCGGGTCTTTCTTATTTTCCTTCCCCGTTACGAATATAATACTTCTTTCCCATCTTCATCAAGTATTCAACTCACAGATGTTACTTAGGCATTGCCTTTCCCACTGTCGTCTTTTTCACTCTCTAGGTTATATCTCTTCACCTCCTCTAAGGCTAATGAATGTAATCCTACAAGTGAGTGCTCAGTCCTCTGAGTTCTAGTAATGGGACTGCAAGAAAAGAGCAGCTTCTGGTAAGAGCGTATGTGGCTGGAAGTTTCCTCTCCAGTCCTCAGGGTGCTGCGGTGAGCTACCCAGAACAGAAACCAAGGAACACGACTTACCGGAGAAAGGATTATCTCCTTCTTCATCACTGCCGGCGTCTTCCTCATCATCTTCTCCTTCAGACATAAGCAAATCCTCATACAGGACACTGGCTTGAGGCTGCTGCACAGTTCCTTCCTCTTCATCTGCGAGATCACCATCTGCATCTTCACCTTCCTGAACAAGACCAGCTGGGGTCAAAGTCCCATCAAGGGACCGAGTGAGAGACCACAAGCCACCACCAGCACCACCCTTGCTGCCTCACAAGAAGTTAAGTAATTGTGGTGGATAGATTTGTTTAGCTGATTCCAAGGATTAAAGTCAGATTGGGCCTCACTATGGAGACTCTCTGGTATCACCCTGGGATTTGGCCTGCCCTGTACTAGTGGGGCTCCTATCATATAAGGGCATAATGTAACCATAAGCTTTCTGTAAGCATACTCACTGGGGCTGGAGTCTTAGGTTTCCCATCCTCCTCCTCATCATCATACCCTTCAATATCTACATCAGAGTCTTCCTCGCCCAGCCTACCTCGGCCCTGGCGCATCTGAGTAAGGAACACAAATAGCACATCATTGAGGGACGTGCCTGTAGGAGGAGTTAACCAAAGGCTCTCACCCAGGACAGATGCTCCTCCCTGATATCCCAGCCAACCCCACAGCTAGTGGGGGCTGTTTACATAGCTCAAGGCATGTGTGCTTCGTCCCATTCATTCTTTGGAAATCACTGGTAGAGTTAAAACAACAACAACAACAACAACAACAACAACAGACTCAAAGAATAGGAGGGTCCTTGGTCTACTCTTGCTGTATCATCACAAGGAGACTCTTCCTTCCTAATCGAAGCTTTCCTCAGCTTCTGTCGTATTCTCTGGGACAGAAAAACTGTCCTGGGTTTTGTACTCTCCAGTGGAACAAATCTCCTGACTGAGGTCAGCTGATACAGCCGATAAGATTTTTGGCTTCAGAAGAGGAGTATCTTCTGACACCTCTAGAACAGGCCAATCTCTCAAATTTAATTGAATTTCATAAATAATTTTAATTTAGATTTAGCATACATACAGTACAGTAGAAGGGCCAATTATTTTGAACTCTGTCTCTGAATGCAGTTAGTTGGTCTTTCTAGTCACCTGTGAGGTTGCTCTGATGCCTCATACACTTTTCATACTTGTGCCTTCCCTGAAGTTCTGTTGTGCCTGACTCTGCCCATGGGGACAGACAGAAGACAACGCAAGTCATGTGACCTGCCACCAGCTTGCCTTGAAATCACATTGGTAAGGCTTCATTCTTAGGGCCAAAAGGGCCTCATCATCCATGATACATGTCATATATCACCACCATTCTCCCACTCCCCACCAAAGCATATCACCAATGTCATGAAGAGAAAAAGAACATCCTACCTGTGTCACCTGCTTTTCTGGAGTGGCAGCGGGAATGTCCAGGACAGACATATTACTCTCATCTTGAAACACAGAGGCATCCCGAGACATACTGAGGGATGTGTTGGTGTCATACAAATCAGGAGGCTGTGGCACAAATGTACAACTTAGCTTCTATTTAGGAAAAGGGAGTAAGAAATACAGAACTCCCCTTTAGAGCATTCACTGCAGAAGAAGGTCATGCAGAGCAATCCATTTAAAGAGAAAATAGTTTGACACAGCTTTGTGCACAGGTTTTTGGGAATCTTTCAAATGCTGCTCATTCTAGCAGAGAGGCATCTGATGTATATGATCTGAAGCCTGAAGTGGAAAAGCATCAAAGCTATGGGGCAATTCTATGTCCCGACAGCCTTTCTGTTCAATAACCTAGTGTCTTCTAAGCTTTGCCTTATTGTTTTCAGACCTGGGGCTTCGTACCTGTTCAATTTTGACTGGCTTAGAGACATCTAATAGGAAATGGGATAAAGGAATTGCAATTCCAACAAGAGCATGTAGTGGGTTAATCGTTTATGAGCTCATCAAAGGATGATGCTACGAGGCAAAATGGTGTGGTGAAAAAATGTGGGCTTTGGAACAAAACGTCCTGGGTTTGAGTCCTGGCTCCACCACCTGCTAGGTGAGTAACTTCAAGAGATTATTTAATCACTCTAAGCCTTGGTTTCCTCAATTATAAAACATGGGTGATAATGTCTGCCTCCTAAGGTTGTTGGGAGAATGTGTAAGCTCCTTACCCCATGCCTGGTATTCAATAAATTATAGATCCCTTCCCTCTTCCCTCTCCTGAAGAGAACAGGGATTTAGCAAATGGACTTTTCAGTGACAGGAGGGCAGGAGGAACTGATAGACAACAGGCTGGAGAAGTAAGAAAGAGTTCTCTGAAAATCTGGTGAAGGGTAGAAATATTATGCGGCTGTTTAAAAATCACGTTTTCAAAGACTATTCTCTCTCTGCCCTTCCCCTGCTTACTCTCGCAGTCTCTCTCAAAAATAAATAAAATATTAAAAAACTTTAAAATAAAGTGTGTCTATATACGCTTGTGTGCACATGCACACACACACATATCACACTGCAGATTTGAAGGAAACACACCAACATGTTCACAGCGATTGGTTCTTTCTGAGTGGTGGACTTAACTCTAGGTAATTTATTTCTCCTTTATTATTTCCCAAGGAGCATGTTGCGTTTAACAAAAACCCCACATTGGTGTTACTTTGTGGGTTTTCTTTTTTTTAAAGCAAACAAGCAAGGCTGATTGAAGAGGGTTTTGGAGAGAGGCAAAACGGAATTGAAAGCATTCAGAGCAGATAAACTCGTGGCTGAACAGAAGAGAAGATCAGGGAATGAGGGACTAGTGGGAAACTGCAAAGTGAGCAATTTTAGATAGTGTTAAGCAGAATGTGCGATGCAACACGAGAGCAGTGGAACAGCTGAGTGAAAATACAGTCTTGACTACCACCATTTAAGGCCGGAAGTAACGTATGATTACTGTTACGTTTCTATACAACCAGAATTACAACAGGTTAAACTTACACAAACACGCTTTCGTAACATTTGGGTTTGAAAGTCGTGATGAACAAGGACAATTACTCAGACTCATCTTCCTCAGGGTAAGGGAAAATGCGCCGGGCTTACACTTCAAGATGTGTATATGAGTGAAGGCAATGGCGAGAGGGCGACTTGGGAGTGATGAAGAGGCACCATCTACGCCCTATTCTTCATGGGAGCCCCTGTGACTGGCCTGGGCAACAGCTCCGGCTCAGGAGGGAGAACAGTGGCCAGGCTCTCCTCACCTGAGGCCATGTGGGAGCAGGAGGAAAAGAAAGGAAGATAACCTTTGGGTCTAAGGGTTTGATTCACAGAGGACTAGGTTTCCACTGTCACAGACTAGAGCAAACCGCGTGCCACTCAGTGGCTACACTCTTCTGAGGAATGACGGCCAAAACCCAGGCTTTAACTTACCAGAAAGGGCCTTGCAGGAGCTGTGGGCCTATTACCAAAAAGGGCCTTCCTGGGCAACATCACTCACCCAAGCCCCCCGGCCCCAATCTGCCCACATACTCCAAGAGCCTTCCCTTGTTCTGGGCCTGGAAGAAGTATCTTAGGGCTCTTTATACTTGGCCCCTCAGCCACCTAGGTTTTGGGGTGAAAGAGAGTAAAAGACAGAGAGGGAGAGTGCACGCATGAGATACAAACAGCAAGAGTCCAACACAGAGCACACAGGTGGCAGTATCAGTTCAGGGTAGAATGAAAAAAGTTTTCCAGTGGGAACAGGGAGGATTTTGCATTAAAATATTTGGCTAAATATGAAAGGGCTCCTGAGAACTTTGTAGACAGTTGTCATACAGACAAGGAAACATTTACTGAATGTCTACTATGTGCCAGGCAAATTAACTCATTTGATGTTTATAATCATCTCAGAAAGTACATTTTAGAGAAGTGGAGACGGGAGTTAAAGGGCTTAACTCCCCAAGCTCACAAAGCTAGGTAATAGAACTAAGATTCAAACCCAGGCGTGTTTTATCGCCAAAATTCATGTACTTCCCACTTTACCACAGTGCCTTCAATACAGAAATTCAAGCACCAGCCATATTCTGGTAAGTCCTATTCTTGAAATCTGGAAACATACTCTCTCTTATGTCCAAATTTTTCAATATATTCAACAGAAAGACTATAAATTTCTTATTAATCTTGCTCCCTACTCTTTTGACATGTAACTTTAAAAAAGTTATAAATGTTACCAGTCTTCATTTATAAGGAAAAGGAGTCAATCCAGGAAAATGGGTGACGTCTGAGCTACACTGGGATACCTCAGAGGGAATAAGTCATCAGGCCTATAAGGCACAGGAACAACGTGGCCAATGTCTGTAACTGAGAATTCTATACTTTAGGGAAGTCTTCGAGCCCCATTTCATGGGCAAGGGAACTCCAGAGACTCCAGAGGACACGTTTGGCCATGGCAGTCAGGAATCTGGTATTTGTGAACACTGCCTAAACAACTAAGGCCCCACCCCACTCATTCATCCCACACCTGCTTCTTCTGGATTCAACAAGGCCACCAAGACCCATGGTCCTCACTCACCTTAGCCTTTGAGAAGACAAGAAAGCACACGAAAGGCATATGAAGAGGAAGGACAGAGAAGAAGGGTATCTCAGTAAATGTATCTGTTAACATGCTCCCAATTTCCCAAACTAATAAGCAAACTATAAGAGGCAGTTCTTAGTCTTCAAACTCACCTGAGGTGTGTAAGGCCCTGGAGTCATGGGGTCCAGGCTTTCTAATTCTGCTTCCTCCAAAGCAGCTTCCTTAGCTGTACATATATCCTTCTCGAGTTGAGTCAAATGCTCATCATACTGAGAAATAAAGAATATTAGTGAATTCACCGAACATGTGTTTTGGGCACTGGGGATATAAAAGTAAACAAAGCAGACAAAAATCCTTGTCTTCATGGACCTTATTTCCAGTGGCAGGTCACATACGATAATTACAGTAAATCATGACATAGTTTGTTAAGAACATTTAGTGCTAGGCAGGAAAATAAAGCAGGAAAGGAAATAAGGGATGAGGGGTGAGGTTGGGGGGGCAGGAGGTTACATTTGAAAATCAGATGGGCAGGGAAGGCCTCCTCACCCAAGGGAACAAAGAGATTCCAGGATGCTACATCCCAAGGGGACCCCCCCTCCCTACCACGTACCTCAGTTAGTGTCTGGTAACAGACATTCACAATTTCCTGGGCAGTCTTAGTATACTGACTTTCGGGCCCTACAAAAGAAAGGAAAACGCCATGATCTTTGCAGACTTCAGTTCCAGAAATTTATTTCCAGCACTGGCAGTAGTGTCCCATGGTATCCTAGCCTCAAGAAATCATGCTTCGGCTTTAACTTGGACTCTTGCTCTAATCTTGGAGGTGGAAAATTTCAAATCCATACCAAAACAGAGACACTAATATGATGAACTTTCATGTACCCATTACCCAGCTTCAATGATTACCAATACAGGGTTAGTTTCATTTCATTTAAACCTCAACGTTTACACTCCTCCCAAATTATTCTGAAGCACATTCCAGTATCATTTCTGAAGCAAATTCCAGTATCATTTATTTCATCCACAAATTGTTTTAGTACGTGTCTTTGAGGACTCTTCTTTTTTTTAAAGATCCTATCTATCTATCTATCTATCTATCTATCTATCTATCTATGGAGAGAGTATGCGTGCGCAGGAGAGGGGCAGAGGGAGAGAGGGAGAAGGAAAGTGAGGGAGAGAATCTCAAGCAGGCTCCATGTGCAGCACAGAGCCAGAGGTGGGGCTCAATCACATGACTCTGAAATCATGACCTGAGCTGAAATCAAGTCAGATGCTTAACCAACTGAGCCATGCAGGCACCCTTTTGAGGACTCTTCTAAAATATACTCCATATGATATTACAGTGGTAGATATGTATCATTATACATTTGTCAAAACTCACAGAATGTACACCTAGAATGAACCCTAATGTAAACTATGGGCTTTGGGTGATTATAATGTGCCAATGTAGGTTCATCAAATGTAACAAACGTATCACTTTGGTAGGGGATGTTGATGATGGGAGAGCCTATGCATATGTGGAGGTAGGGGGTATATGGGAACTCTGTATCTCCCACTCAATTTTCCTCTGAACTGCTCTAAAAAATTGAATCTATATTTATAAAAAAAACAAACCAACTATATTACATCTGAAATAACTCACAATAATTCTTTAATATTATTCAATACCCAGTCAATATTTAAATTCCCCAATTGTTTCATAAAGGTTCTTTTACATTTGATTTCTTTGAATCATAATGCAAATAAAGTCCACACATTGCTTTGAGACACTTTTACCAGTTTGGTGATTCTTTTTTTTTTTTTAAGTTTATTTTATTTATTTTGAGAGAGAGAACGAGCAAGTGGGGGAGGAACAGAGAGACAGAGAATCCCAAACAGATTCTGCACTGTCAGCATGGAACCCAACATGAGGCTCAAACCCACAAACCATGAGATCATGACCTGAGCTAAAATCAAGAGTTGGACACTTAACTGACTGAGCCACCCAATTTGGTGATTCTTAACTAGACTATACAGTTCCCCCATGGCCTTTGTCATAGGTTGCAGACTGGTGGCTTGGAAGTCAATCCAGTTTTGTTTAGCCCACATAAAAAATCATTTCAATTTGTGAAGACAAACTGAGCTATACACCTATAACATAAACACTTTTTTGTATGTAAATTATACCTCAATAAAAAGTTTAGAAAAATCATACTTAGTTGACGATGTTTAATGAGCGAGAAATTTCATGTAAAACCCCAAATGTCTGGCTTCTCTTGAAGAATGAAAAGATGTGGCCACACAGAGCCGTCATTCCCACAAAGCACCAATGGGCCAGGGCTGAGGAGCAGCTGCCCTTTTTAGATAAGGTGTGTGTTCTGCAGGTTACCAGCCCAGGTCTGCTTAACTCATTTATGCCTAGACCCTGAAGGCATCTGGGGTTTTAATCCTTAACTTTAATTATTCTTTAATATACTGTTCATTTACCCATTCATTCATTCTTAAAACATTTTTGAATACTTTCTATGTGCCAGACAGAAATGAGGACGATACAGACCATATCCTCAAGAAACTTAAAGTCTAGTACAGTAAGATAGAATATAAACAAATAGGGCAGGGGCGCCTGGGTGGCTCAGTCGGTTGAGTGTCCGACCGGCTCAGGTCATGATCTCATGGTTCATGAGTTCGAGTCCCGCATCGAGCTCTGTGCTGACAGCTCGGAGCCTGGAGCCTGCTTTGGATTCTGTGTCTCCCTCTCTCTCTGCCCCATCCCCACTCATGCTCTGTTTCTGTCTTAAAAATAAATAAAACATTAAAAAAAATTTTTTAAATAGGGCAACAGAGTGAAGTGAAAAAATTCATACAGGGTTCAGTAGAGGCACAGAGGAGGAAGTGGCCAATTCTGGGAAGTGAGAGGGGAAAAAGGAATTAGGAAAGGCTTCACAGGGTAGGTGATCCCTGAATTAAACCTAGTATTTATTAGGATGCAACGGCTAAAAAATACACCATGTGTATATGTGCAACTTTCATGCCAGACCTACTCTGATTATTATAAGCTATTATATGAACAAAGAAGTCTCAGTTAAAATCTCAGATAGGCCATGTGTTCTTTCAAAGATGTATTCTTTCAAAGTTGTATCCTTACACAAGCTGACTGTGACAAACAAAAATAAACTAGAAAGAAAACAAAGTCCTCCATCAAGATATTTAGGACACACATACAGCCAGCTAGAGCTGGCTCACCATCAAGGACAGTTTCAGTGATAAGCCCGCAGCTCAAATTTCCAGAGCTCTAATCTCCTACGGCCACCAGTAGCCTGGTCCTCAAAATACTGAGGGAGACAGACTGCAAAAGTTCTCAGATAAGCTTGCTCTTGTTGATAGCAATACAGGATGCTCGAGTAAATAGGCTGCATACAGGCCACAGGCCTCCTTCTGCAAGCCAATGCAAACAAGAACTGCATATGGTATGCTGACAACGCTACCTATGGGGACTTGCCTTGTAGTTACAATTCCAGCCTATACATGAAGAATACAGACCTTACATGACTTCAGTTTTGAAACCTAAACCTCAACTAACCCTTTAACACCTCAATGCTCTTCTTTAAAATACAGGAAAAATTAGGGGCGCCTGGGTGGCTCAGTTGGTTAAGCATCTGACTTCGGCTCAGGTCATGATCTCACGGTTTGTAAGTTCAAGCCCCGCGTCGGGGTCTGTGCTGACAGCTCAGAGCCTGGAGCCTGCTTCAGATTCCATGTCTCCCCCACTCTCTCTGCCCTCCCCTGCTCACACTCTATCAAAAATACACATTAAAAATATTTTGCAGATGGAACCTCTTCCTTCCCCATTTTCTTTGCAGTATATAACTAAAGAAATATCCACTAATAATAACCCCAAAATATATAAAAACACACACACTTATTTACATAGCTGATATACCTGTCCTTGTCCATGTGTTTGGATTGCTAGCTGTTTGTGTGCCTTCTCAGTTTTTAAGTCTGTGCTCTCAAGCATGACAAGGGGTTCAGCTATTTAACTCTATTACTCTACTAAATGCAAAATAGCTTTGAAGTATTTTTGATAAAAGATGGTGGTGGAGTTGGCAAACCATTTTTAACATGAACAAAAAAGGATAAAATATCTAATTTGCCCAAAGGAAATGAAAACACTAAGTTGAAAAGATACATGCACCCCCATGTTTTTTGCACCATTATTTACAGCAGCCAAGATATGGAAGCAGTGCAAGTGTCATCAAGAGATGACTGGATAAAGATGTGGTGTACACACACACACACACGTACACAATGCAGTATTATTCAGCCATTAAAAAGAATGAAACCTTGCCATTTGCAACAACACGGATGGAGCTAGAGGGTATAATGCTAAGTCAGACAGAGAAAGACAAATGCCATATGATTTCACTTATATATGGAATCTAACCCTCCCCCCAAAAATGAACAAGCAAACAAAAAACAGACTCTTAAAATACAGAGAACGAACTGGTGGTTGCCAGAGGGGTGGTGGGTGGGAGCATGGGTGAAATAGGTGAAGGGTATTAAGAGGTACAAACTTCTAGTTCTAAAATAAGTAAGTCTCAGAGGTGAAAACTACAGCATAGGGAACATGGTTAATAATATTGCAATAGAGTTGTACGCTGACAGACGGCGACTATTGTCACCACTACTGTGTTGAGAATAGTGCGATGTATAGAATTGTCGAATCCCTATGATGTACACCTGCAATTAATATAACATTGTATCTCAAGACACCTCAATAAATAAATAAATAAATAAATGCATACCCACCCCAAAAGGATAAGACAGCCAGATGTTTTCTTATCCCAGGAATTCTTGAATGGGGTGGTAATGAGATAAAGAGATCCATGAATGTACTGAAACTAAACAAAATTCTATATGTAATACACAGTTTTCTGGGTGGAAGATCCATGGTTTTTCATCAGACTCTCAAAAGGGTCTATAACCACACCATTTCCATAAAGCTAAAAATACTGCTCTCTATTCTGCAGCAGTCAGGAGCTTACTAGAAGTAGGATGATCAACAGTAGGCTTCACAGATTAGGAAGAAAAGAGGAGTCCAGCAAAGAGACATATAAACTAACAGGGTCTCTGTGGGAATAATAAAGGTGCTGGAGCTATCATAGGGGGAAAAAGAGTAAGTGGAAAGTGAATTCAATTTCCTAGTCCCTAAAGGGTCACAACACAGAAAACCAGAACTAATTTTTTAACGAGTGATTCCCAAAACAACACAAAAATGAATGAAAGATAAGGCCATCTATGAATTATCACTGTGCCCTACAGGAGAATAAGCTACCCGTTTATAAAAAGAAATGTTTTTCCAAATATACTTTGCTTTTCTCTCTCTCCTTAAATCAGAGCAATGTAATTGCAAATGTCTTGTCAAGGAAATAAATCTATACTTGGCCTTATTTCAAATAAGGATTGGCAGTAACCTACAGAATCATATAGAATTCAAATCCAAATGTCCTTAAGTAGTGGTAATTCCAATGACAGCTCAGGAAGGCTGATTTTCCACCCAAATCAAGAAAATTCTTTTTGTCATTTCTAAGTTAATTGACCTCTGCAGAGATGTGAGAAGAAAGCTGCAAGCTTCATGGTTCTGGTGAGAGAGGGAAAACAAGTATTATTGCTTCCTGAAAGGTTTCAGTGAAAATACCAGT